GAGAGGGCGGGGGAGGCAGCTCTGGGGAGCCGGGAGGGGAGCCCAGGCTGCACCCCGGGAAGCCGGGAGGAAAGGCCGCAGGGTCCCCGCGAGCGCGCGGGGTCTGGGGCGGGGGAGCGAGCCCTCGTCTGGAGGTCACCGGGGAGAGGCCGCGAGCCCTTCAGAGCCACAGCGGGCGGACGGCCGCAGATCCCTGGTGGATGGCGGCTGATGGGCGGTGGGTGGCAGGTGGACAGCGGACAGACGGCCGGAGGCACCTGATCGCAGACAGGTGGGTGGCCCTGTGCTACTTACAGGAGCCCGCCTGTCCAGGGCGCATTCTCTTCTTCCGTTCGGCAGAGCTGTCGGCCAGCCTGGCCCCGGCGCCTCCGTGCCTGCGGGGAGCAGGGTGCCCCCCTTGGGCTGGCGAGCAATCGGACTGCCAGCTGGCCTAGCAAGAGGCGAAGTCGCCCTCAATCACCACCAGGATGGAGGCGCAGCGCGCGCGTGGGAAAGGGGACCCCGCGGCGTGGGGGGCTCTGAGGGCCGCGGAAACTGCACTGTCCCGCCACGGAGACGGGGTTCTCCCAGAGGGAGGCCGATCCCGGCGGCCGGCTCTGGGGCCCGGCGTCTCCCCAGAGAGGGACTGGTAGGCGTTTCTCCTGAGCGCCCCCCCAATAACCACTTGCCGAGTCGCACATCTTGGGGGCGCAGGGGGCTGCCCCGACACCTTGGTCACAAATGAGTGAAACCCAGAATAAACGGTCCTGGGCCCCGCCCCGCCCCAGGCGCCGCCCCCACTCCGGTCCGGCCCTCCCGCAGGGCGCAGGAGCCCGTGGCCCCCGTGGCCCCCGTGGCCCCCGCCACGCACAGGCAGATCCCGGCGGCGGCTGCTCCAGCTGCCAGACTGCCTCTGGCCCAGCGGGTCCCTCTCCCGCCCGGCACTGAGCCTCTCGACCCCGAAGACTGGCGCTCACGCCTGGGCCCCAAGAGCCTCAAAGCAAATGCACAGCGAGGGGGGCGGCCTGTGAGCGGCCCGCACGTGCTGCCCCCCACCCAGACGCCCCCCAAGAACCAGATGAGGGCACACAGCCCGCC